GGAATATTTTTGGAATATTTCTAACATAATAATTCGGAATATTTTCGGAATATAATTATTATTTTTTTTTTATAGGGTATGGTATGGCTATAAAAACTTTATCAAAGAGCAACCACTAGATAATTTTATCTGATAATTTAATATCCATTCAGAAACATTTATTAGCTTAAATCGTAAGCCCTGTGTGATTTTAACGTTAAGAGTAAAGTGTCCAGAATTCTGTGATGCATAATTCTGCTCATTATAAGAATATTTTTTTTGTATTGTATTTGGTTTTAAAAAAGATTAAAGCTATGTTTATCTTACGAAGACAATATGAAAAGATATTTTTAGAGCGCGCAGAATTATATATCGCAGAATTCTGGACACTCTACTCTAAAAATATTTTTTTGTATTGTATTTGGGTTTAAAAAATGATTAAAGTCATGTTTATTTTATGGAAACAATACAAAAAGATATTTTTAGAGCGAGCAGAATTATGCATCACAGAATTCTGGACACTCTAGTTAAGAAATACAATTGGTTCTTCTAAACGATACCTGAATGAAGCAAATCACGTAATTTTTGATGAAAAATTATTAAAAAATATCAATGTTTACCTTAACGAAGTTAGAACTACGGTCCATGGATCTGTAGGTCCGCAAAATCATATAAGAAAAATCATCTCGTGATCTTCTATCATGATAATTTGTGATTTCTTTTATTATAAAACTTACAAGTTTTTGTACCCTTTAACACAAACTATTTAAAATACAAATAAGTTTATAAATTATATCTTAAATATAATCTAACATTTGTGTTTAATTAAAACTATTCAACTAAATAATAATTGTTTAATAAAAATTCTAACTAGATTGCTTGGATAGTTTGATTGCCACGTAAATATCAGTGTTTTGCAATTACGTTGACTTTTAGAAGATCTCTATTATCGAAATTTTTTGTAAAGATGAAATTTTCTTAATATTCGCAGAGCATAAGTGGGATAAGCGAAATAGTTTTTGTTTTTTTTGTCCAGTTTACAAAAGAAATTTAATAATAATAATTGCCTCAGGTGCTTTTTATATTCACACAGATTTTCTTTATAAATTATGCAACAAGTATAATTATTAAAATACTTTGTAATTTCGTTAGCAGCTCCTCGATTATACCTAAGCCTAAACAATAGCGTTATCCTTTCAAAAACACAATAGTCATGTTTAAAATGGTAATTTTCTACCGATTTATATACTTTATAATTAAAATTTCTAAAGTAGCTTCTATGAATACTAAGTTCACTTGTTAGTTTTCTCAGGTCATTTTTGATTTCTTTTTGTCTGACTGATTTACTAAATTCTTTTTGCAAATTTTTTGTACATCAATGAATGCATTAAGATACTCATAATCGATATTACAATGAGACTCTAGTGCTAAGGACATCTTAAGTATCTCGAGTTTAGTATGTTTATCACTTTTAACTAAAATTTTTTGAATTGTTATTTGAAAAAAAATTTGGGATACAATTAAAAGCTGTAATTTATTAATTGAGTAGATTAACTACTTGAAATAGTATTGTAAATTTTTATTTATTTAATTACGACTCCACACAATGTTGTTGAATAAATAAAATTAGTTAAAATAAATTTTTAATAAAGTGATTTTATCAATTTATCTTTTAAGTAATCAATTAAGACTTAATTGATTACTACTTGATTATCAAGTAGAGATGTAATCTGAAACTACTATCAAGTAGAGTGTCCAGGATTATGCACCACAGAATTCTGAACACTCTACTATCAAGATCTTTAGGAATAAATATTGATACTTCTAGAATCATATTATAATAAATTATGCCTAGTAATGAGACTTAAAATTCAAATATCATACTCCGTAATTTATTTAAAAAATATTATAGTAACTTTATATATTATAATTGCGACAATTAAGAATTACCTTACCCATTTTTCGTATTGTTAGTCCCATCCTAAATTTCTTAAAATTAATATGCTGAATTGAATATAGTTCAATTAAAGATTTTATATTATTGGCTATAATAAGAAAAAAAGCAAGTATTTATTTTGTGCATGTTGACATAAGTTGAGAAGACAGTTAGAATAGTCAGGGATCAAATAATTCAGTAATTAATTCAAACTAATTAAATTGGACTATTAGAATCCAGAAATTTGCAGGTACAAATATTTAGTAAGATAAGCCTTTAAAACTATTATATCAATTCAATTAAATTCACACAATATAAGAATTAATTTCGAATTAGAGGTGTGATCCGTTATCCGGTTTTCCTATTTAAAAATTACAGATATTTGGATATAATAATATTATTATAAAATTGAATTAACAGATAATCGGATTGTATCTTTAAATTGAATATTCATTTATCGAGTAGTTCTGTAAATTAGAATGCTGAATATTCAGAATTTTGCGAAGCAAATTTGAGTGTCCAGAATTCTGCGATGTATAATTCTGGTCGCTCTAAAAATATTTTTTTTGTATTGTATTTGGTTTTAAAAAATAATTAAAGTCATGTTTATCTTATGAAGACAATACAAAATGATATTTTTAGAGCGAGCAGAATTATGCACTACAGAATTCTGAACACTCGAGAGCAAATGTTTTAAAAATCTAGTGATGCGAACTAATTCTAATTTAAGCAAAATTAAGTTTAAATAAAGGTAAAATTAAGTATAATTCTGGTCAAAATTATGCATAACTCTAGGCAAAATTGAAATATAATTACAAGCAAAATTAAATATTATTCCGGATATATCTCCAGGCAAAATCAAATGGGTTGGTGCATAGCAAAACTATGCCTTGAGAGTTTTTAACCGAAATTGAGATTTTTATTGAGTTATATTCTCAATTTCTTGCTTTATCTATAGTACAAATTTTATTTCACATTAGTATATTACGATTTGCACAATTTCGAGAACAGTTTTTTATCTAATCTGGTTTTTATATTCTAAATTTAGATTAATAGTTAAGTGTAATAATGAGTCTTGATTTAATAACTAATTGATCAAATTTTTCTATCAAATAATATACATCCTGGTAACTATAACGATATGCAATATTCTAATTTTATCACATAATACCAAGTTTTGATCAATCGTTAATATCTACTAATAAAAAATTCATCTCAAAGCATGGTTTTGCTGTGTACCAACCCAAATGGGGTCTTTGCCTTGAAAATCACCTTCCAACATTTCCGATCAGGCTAATTCAGACAAAAACAAAGCCATGTATTTAGTTCATGTTTATATATAAATTCCTTTGTCTTTATGGTTAAATAGTTTATAAAATAAAGTTTCGAATCAATAAAGGCAAGAAGAGATTTATATATATATGCGGGTTTGTTTTTGTCTGAATTAGCCGACCGGAAATATCGGAAGGTGATTTTCAAGGCAAAGACCCTAAATTATAGTTTCTACTACATCACTAGCAGAAACGTTGATCACATGACCATGTCTCTACTTTAACATAGATAGAGAGATAAGGTTATGTAAAACAACCCTTCAAGATCCATATTGATATATAATTGATATTTAACAAGTATCGATTTCAAATAATCTTATCAATTTCTTTTTTGCACTGATTCAGAAAGTAAATGTAATCCCAATTCATCATTAATAAAATCTTTCCAATTGATTATATTAAAATTATTATTAATGTTAATGTTAATTTGACAAAATTGATTATGATTTCGTGAATTAATTTTAATATTACTACACTATAATACTTTACAATAAGTAAGGAAAAAATTAAAACTTATTATGAAAATTAAAATTGATTTTTTTAATTCTGTGAAATCATCAATGCAATAAAATGCGAGGAATAAATATTTAAAAGATATCTTGAATACTATTAGTTATTAAAAAGATGAAATATGAAATATTAACTATATCTACCAAAGACTGTATTTTTAAATACGTATTTTTTGGGAGATTTGCTAGAGAATTAAATATATAAATAAAGGAATTAAGAAATAAGATATATGAGACAAATACACACTTTAACTTTTCATAATAGTAAAAAAAAATCAGTTAATATAGTATATGAACATAATAATTTCTTTTCATTTTCTTTGGAGGTAATTTCATTATTAGTTTCATTAAATGTTGCCTTTTCATTTTGAAGTTGTTCAATTGCTTCATTGATATCCTCTTTGGAAAAAGCAAAGCCAAACATTTGAGAAAAAGATTCAGGGACTGAATAATCACCAAAATTTGAGAAAAAATCCTTTTTCGATTCTTCATCGTGGGTAGCAAGAGTTTTTAAAATTTTGTGAAGAGTTTCAATATTGGTAGTCATTTTTTTTAAAAAAAAAGTTTAATTTATATAGCAAGTTATAAGTTTAACTTTTTCTTTGATAAAAATTAGACAAAAAGTAAAGAAAACTATTGTACAAATTAATATATATGTTGACGAATATTAGCTCACGGGATTTTAATTGACATCTCAAGAGTCAGTTATTTGACATATATAAATAATATATGCGATAAATTCGAATTTGTCATTTATATTATTTTATATATCAAATACCTGACTCTTGGGGTGTCAAGTTAAAAGCCGTGAGCTAATATTTGTCAGCCCCTTAGTTAGTCATCTATTTATGTCCAATTTGTTTATTTGGTATAGAGCTTCATATTCGTATTTGTTATTCCAGTAATATTTGTATTCGGCGAATATTCAAATAAATATTTATCTGATGAATAATTCAAATTACCTATCTTATTCGAATAAGTAAATTTTATTCATTATTCGTCATATGAAACTTTAGTCATTGGCTGATTTATACATAGTAACGATATATGATTAGCTGGCTTCGTATCTAATAACTATAATGTTATTTATATAAATAATCTTATTTGAATTCTGTTAGTCATTCGATGAATATTCAAATAGAAATTTGCTAATCTAAATTATTCTGGTATTATTCGAATAAGGAATCCGTAAGCTCTAATTTGGTACTGTAATTTTACAAATTTAGGAAATAATGATAAAAAATTTACGATTGTTAATCAATTATGTTCGAAGAAAAACTAAACAGAATTTCGAAGTACAAATTTATTGGGTTATTCTTGTTCAGAATTCTGTATTGTCTAAAATTATTTTTTTTTAAAACTAAATACTATATAATACAAATAATAAAGAAATTTTCAATTAACTTATTTATATTTGTCTATAGTCATGTGATATAACTCTTAACATTTTACCGAATCTTTTGCACTTAATATTAAAAGTTAAATAGAAATGTTTATAATTAAGTGAAAAAAGAATTACTCGAGAATATAGTTGTTAGACAAAACTTTGAGGTTTCACACTGACAAAAGACTTACCTTAGAATATAGTTGTTAGACAAAACCTCAAGGTTTTATGCTGATGAAAGTCGAAATCTAGTTTCAACTTTCGCCAACTAAAATCTCAAATGATGAAGGTGTCGAAACTGACAAAATTGGCAAAAGGTGACGAAAGGCAATAAACTAACAAAACTGTAAAGGGTAACAAAACTAATAAAATATGAAGAAGCAGAAATCAGGTTTTAATTTTAAAAATCATTGTGAGGAGTTATTACAAATCAAATAATAATTGACACTCTAACAACACTTTAGTTTAATTTTTATATCTAATAATAGGTCATTCAGAAATCAAGCAAATCTATTAGATAAATTTGCTTTTTTGTTGATCTCTAATTGGATCGGATATTGTTATCAAGTGTAGCACAAAATGTGATTTTCTCAAAATTTTATCGATTTGTTTGACTCACCTCATATTTTAACATACATTCATGGTTTTGGCAAAAGCTCAAAAGAAGTTCGTGTTGTGTCTTCTTTTAAAATAATTTTTCTATTGGCTGTGAATACATTTCAACATGAACATTTATTTAGTATAGTAGATTTAAATAAAAAGAAGTGTCATTTATTAGCTGATTTTTTGTAAATACAGTAGTAAAATTTCTCCCCTCCCTCAAATAACATATATAATCATATATACATGTAATCTATTGATATGATATCCCCTGCAAAAAAATCAGATGATAAATGACACTTCACAAAGGTGAGGCTTTTTAATATTGAAACTTAATCGACTAATCATATGACTCATTTTAGTATCCACTGGATGCTGAAATGATATTATGTGAAATAATGCAGCTTTAGCTTGATTATTGAATCAGATATAGTCAATTAGATGAGTTAAGACATCCTCTTTTATCCATATCCTGGAATTAGAGAGTTTCCAGAAATCCATGGTGCATAATTCTACTTGCTCTAAAAATATCTTTTTGTATTGTCTCCGTAGGATAAACGTAACATTAATCATTTTTAAAAACTAAAATGCAATACAAAAAAATGTTTTTAGAGCGAGCAGAATTATGCATCACAGAATTTTGGACACTCTACCTGGAATGATGTTTAATGTTAAAGAATTTCTCGTTAATAAATTGATTACTTCTTGTTTGAACTTTTTTTTTTGATTTTTGAACAATAATGATTTTCAAGCTAATTTTAAAAAAAAAACTTAATACTTTATATCAATATTTTCTAATACAAAAAAAAATAAAAGTTTGCATTGGAATTAATTTCTACAATTTAATTTAAGAATATATATCTGAAATTAAGTTGCTAGCTCCATTATTTGCCATTTTTGATTTAAAGAAATATAAAACTTTACAATTAAAAAAATTCAAATAATTGAATTTATATTTTATTAATTAAATATTTTTTAAAAAAAAACCAAATCTAATCTTGAAAAGAACTAATCTTAAAAAAAACTAAATATGGAATTATCTCCATCTTTTGATTTATTTTTGACAAGTTATCTGTTTGAAATAGGAACAGCAGTGCGTATATATTGATTAATAATTGTTTTAAATATAGTAAATTTATGTAATTAATTGATTTTTATTAGTTATGTTTTTATTATTCGCTATTTTCTTTGCATTCTTTTATCAAAGAAGATAAAGAAAAAAGAATCAAAAACTTAATCAAATTTATACTTAATTTTCAAACACTTGGAGATTTATTATTCTGTTTTGTTCAAATATGATTCCTAAAAATTTGGACAACTTTTCAATAACATATTGTAATTTTGTTGGTTATTGGCAATATTATATTTCACATTTCTTTTTCAGCTTTTTTATTATAGCTATTGTTTTAAATAGAATCAGACTGATCAAAAACTTTAACCTTCTAATATTTTTTATAAGAAATTTGATTTCGGTAAATAAATTAAGTAGATTTATAAATACCAAATAATATTAAGCTAATATTATAATTATAATTTTCAAATATTTAGATTTCTATACTTGTTTATAGTAATTTGAATATTATTTTTGATACAAATCTTAAAATAGTTATTTGTAATCCTAATCAAAAAGCAGCGCCCTTTATTATTTTAACCATAGTCTTTGATTTTATAATTGATTTATATATAACTTTATGGTTAATTATAATATTAGTTAAAGCTAATAATAATATTAGTGAGAAAAAACAATTACCTTTTTTAGCAATTTTAATATGGAGCTATTTACGATTCTTTATTTATTTTTTTGCAAACATATATAATGTTATTGGACTTTTTGTAAATTACTCTTCATATGGGAATTATGATGCTAGCATAAAAACATTAATTAATATAACTTTGTCTTGGCTAATAACTAAGAATCATGAAATAATAAAATATATAAAAAATAAAGGCGAGCTTACTACTTAATATTTTTAATTAACATTATTAAGGGAACGTCCATAATTTACATTAAACCAGTACGGTATTGTATAAAAATAGAGATTTTGAAGATAATTCCAAATAGTATTATTTTTGTATTATCTTTAAGATCTTTATAACAATGTCGATTTAACGTAAATTATGGACGTCCTCTAATTGAAACAGAATTTTATGATAATTATTTTTCAATAATTTAAAATAATGCCGTTTATTTATTAATTGAAAGCATTATTGTTTTATATGTTCTTATTGTTTAAATAATTAAAGTGATGCAAATCAACAAAAAAAATTTTTTTGAATTTTTTAAATATATATTAAATATAAATTTAATCATTAAGTTGCTTTAAAATGTCTGGTTTACGATTTTTGCAATTACAAAATACAAATGTAGAAAAGCTCTTAAATGATTTGAACTCATCTTATAAAAATAAAAAATTCTCTGATACAAAGATAATCGTTGGTAAAGAGGGAAAAACTGAAACAATTTATGCCAATTATTTTATACTTAAGATACGTTCTGAATATTTTCAAAGTGCCTTGTCAAAAGACTGGAGTTGAGAGGTAGATAAATATTTTGTTATAAAAAAGCCGAATGCCACACCCAATTCTATGAATATTATTATTGAATTTCTTTATGGCGTAGACTTCAATGCATCATATAATATGAAAACACTTTTAGATACGTTTTCGCTCATGTATGAAATGGGCATCATGGTATTACGTGATGGATTGAAATCATATTTCATTGAAAATATTATAACCATTATGAAAAGCAACCTATTATTAGTTTTAGAATTTATTAAGAAATTTATTTTGTATGACGATTTGAAAGAAGTATTTTTAAAAGCTTTGTGTTTGAATCCGGTGCTATTATTTAATTTCGGTAACAAAGAAATTCATGAAAATATTCTCCATGAATTAATATCGAGGTCAGAGTTATGTCTGGAAGAAAACTTGTTATTAAGTAGAATGATTCAATGGTTGTTAGATACAAACGGGTTTCCGGATAAGGTATATTTAATGGATTATATAAGGTTTAACCAGATTACTTTTGACGAAATTAATGATATAATACGTAAGTATAAGAAAATGAGAAATATAAATAATAAAATACTTTCTGAGGTGCAAGAACATTACGAAAAATTCAAAGACAATAACTATAATGTTCGAGATGGCAATTTTTGCCTCAGATCTGAAATTATAGATTTAGACACAGCCAAAAAATTAATTACATAGATAAGCAGAAAAGAATATTATAAGTGTTGGTACAAGTTTGAACTTTTATTTAATATGAAGCATGATGGTTTAAAGTCAGAAACCTTTCATAAAAACTGTGATAGAAAAGGGCCCACTATAGTAATTATTAAATTACTTGATGGTGATTTAATAGGTGGTTATAATCCATTAGATTGGGAAGGTGAGAATGTTTGGAAAAAAACTAGTGATAGTTTTCTATTTCAAAAAAATCGTCATAGCTATAAGAAAGTAAATATTAAACCAGGATCCGAAGGGTTGGCTATTCATTGTGGAACTGTATATGGTCCGACATTTGGAAGAAACAATTTGTGTATTCAGAATGGTTCAGGTTTTTGTATAGTTAAAGATTCACAATATGAAAGTTTAAGTGTGTCAGGAAGATTCCAGATAGCATCTTATGAGGTTTTAAGGGTTATCAAACAAAGATAATATATTTATGTTTTTCAGAAGATGAATTCCAATATACTTAATATGATAATTAAATGTAAACTTAAAAATCGTGGCTAAAACTTTATAGAGATTGGATTGACTATATTCTGACATTAAATTAACTAGAAGAATGTTTACTGAAACTTTGACCAATTCCTTCTTTAAGTATAGCTCTAAGCCACTTAAATTTTTTGATCTAAATTATCTACTTATGCCATTATCTACAAGTTTTCAGAAGGGTTAAAGATAGAGTAAGATTATTAAAATGAGTGCGGGCAAGAGAAAATGTACATTCTAAAAATAGATGATTATGAATTTTATAGTAATCTATTTTGAGTATACATTGTGGAAATATAGCCTCATGAAATTTATGCTATGTTTTTATATAATCTTTTGAATGTTGCCTAAATTTCGAAAGGTGATATCTTTTTTGACATCAATGCAAAAGGATATTTAATTTCATTTGTACAAAATAATAATATTGAATACATCTCTGAGTAGGAGAGTGAGCTGAGTTCGAAATTACAGACAGTAGTTGGAAAATATATCCCTTAATCTATAAATCAAATTTGCCTGGAAAATTTTGATTATTTGTGTTATCGTACTAACAAAAATTAAAGTTAGGTACAGTATAGTTAGTGCAAATCTTACACTCTCCTATTAAATACTTTGCATATTATTTAACGCAATTATTTTAACTACTAAGCCAATAATGTTTATTGGACAAAAAAAATCAAGAAAGTAATAGGAATGTTACCAACACCTATTGATGTTGTGCAGTACATTTTCAAATTTGGCTAATGTAGCTCAGTTAATAGGTATTAAATATTTTAAAAATAAAATCCTTTGGTATGAGAATGCTTTTTTCCTAATTCAAGATCAATAGAAGTTCTTCAATCAATTTTTTTTTTTTAAAAAAAACAACCAAACCAATTAATAGCCGCTTAGAACTTGCTAGATTAATAATCTTCTTTCTCTTGAAGACCAATTAGTCTTCTTATATGATATTATTCTAAAGTCATGTTGTTTCCAACATTTCATTTCAGAAAATTCGTCTGTGGATATTAATTCCGGCTTCATTATAAATATAAATATTATTTAGCAAAAACAAATGATTTTCAAATAGCTTGAAGTTGACAACTCTATTGCATTAAGTAATACTTATCAATAAAAAAAAACTTTGTGAATTGATTTACTCAAACATTTCAACAATTAAATTACTTAAAATACTGTGATTTGTATCAGCTGTTCCTTGATCGTTTGAAGGATGCCTGATATTTTTATTCAAAAAATAAGCCATCGCCTTTTCATATTGCTGTAAATAACAATACATATTAATAAATGTAGTTTATTTTAAAACCACTTATAAATTAATTTACAATTGGATTTTTGTTAGAAGTTTGTTAAATGCTAAATAAAATAGATTATGTAATTTTTCAAGAGTAACAAAATAATCAATTCTAACTACACACCTTTATTAACTCACACTCCAGAATCTCTCGAAACTACTTGGCATAAAATCTATACCAGTTTAATTACAGTTGCTCTAAAACATATCCCTAACAAAAAATTCACTGTTTGTAATTTTCAACACACATTCTCTTCTAAGGCTACCCATCTATACTCAAATCTCGAAAAACTTGGAAACATTATTTGACAAACTAAATACGCTTTAAAACACCAACTACCTATTCCTCAACACCTTAACAACTTCATCTCTTCCCTTAACCAATCCTCAGAATTACATATTCCTCAACTTCCAAGTTCATATCTACTCCTTACTCCCTGGATTTCTAAAGCTAACTTAGAGTAGAAAAATCTCTTTCATGCTTGTAACATGAAAAATATCAAAGAAATTAGACAACAAATTTCTGAAGCTATCAACAAAAGATGTTCTAAACTCCAAACTCACCCTACC